ATTACAAAGAGGTGGCAAACTATAGGTACTATTGTGCAGTTTTCTTTTTTCATTTAAAAATATATCTTGTAACTTGGATGAATTTTGAGAAAACTAAACTGAGTGGGAAAAAACCGTTTCAAAAGATTACATATGTGTGATTTAATTTACACAATCTTGAAATGACCAAACTGTGGAAAGGAAGAACAGATTAGTGGTTACCAGGGATTGGGGGAAGGTGGGCATATGGCTTTGGCTATGAAGGACAGCATAAAGGGACATTAAGGTGATGTAATAATAAGAAAATATACTAGGAGTTTAAAAGTTTCATAAAATATCCTCTTAGCCTTATACAAATACATTTAAAAATTGAATGATATTTGTGATTTTCTATGAAAATAGAAATTTTCCAGAATTTATTAGGTTGCCCTAGAAGGCATCTCAATAAATCAATTACCATGAGAGAAACAGAGATATTATCAATAACACCAGCAATCTCTCTTCCCAATAATATCGTCTTAGATAGACTTCTACTAGATATCTAGAGACTGGATAACTCTAATGCTATTCCAGAGCATGGTCAAAGAATGAAGGCTTTCAGATTCTTTTAAAGAGAGTATAATATTATTTGCAGATGCTGATATCCCTGGGAAGTTCAGGAAAATATACTGAAAAACTACTTCAAATAATAAGGAAATTCAGGATATGGCTGGGAACAAAATTAATATTTAAAAAATCAAAGATTCTTTTATATGTAAAACAACAAATTAAAAGATGTAAATGGAAACTCCAATTTATAGTAATCATACACACAAAAAAAAGATTTTTAAAATCTTGGGATTAAATGTAACAAAAAATATGTAAAATCTCTATGAAGAAACTTAAAAACCTACTGAGGAACACAAAAAAAGACCTGAATGAGTGCAAAGGAATCATTTGCACCTGAAAAGAAAGGTTATGTTAACAACAACTTTACAAAGATAATGTTAACAAAGACAAAAATACATTTACTGAGTTATTATTTGTCCTGTTCTAAGCACTTTGTATACACTGACTCAATCTCACAACCCTATGAGATTGGCCGATAAAGAAACAGACACAGCCAAATTAAGTAACAAGGTCATATAGCTAGTAAATGGAAGAGGTCCTACAATTTAACCTCAATGCAACATTGCTTGAATTTTTCTTAATTACTTAAAACTGACATGTAATTTACATACCATTAACTTCAACATATTAAAGTATACAATTCAATGGTTTTTAGTATATCCAAAGGTTGTTCAACCATCACCACTCTCTAATTCTAGAATATTTTTATCAGTCCCCCCACCCCCAAACAAATCCTGTTCCTAGTAACAGTCACTCCCCTTTCCTCCATCTCCCATCCCTTGGCAGCCACCAATCTCTAAAGATTTGCCTGTTCTGGACATTTCATATAAATGAAATAATATAATATATGGCCTTTTGTGATTGACTTCTTTCACTTAGGAATTTGTTTTTAAGGTTTATCCACGTTCTGGCATGTATCACTACTTCATTCCATTTTATGGTTTAATAATATGCCATTGTATGGGTATTCAACATTTTGTTTATGCATCCATCAGTTGATGGACATCAGGTTGTTTCCATTTTTTGCCTACTGTGAATAATGCTGCTATGAACATTTATGTACAAGTTTTTGTTTAATACATGTTTTCATTTTTCTTGGGTAGATACCTATGAGTGAAATTTCTGGATCATATGGCAACTCAGTTTAACCTTATGAGGAACTGCCAGACTGTCTTTCATAGTGGCTACACCATTTTACATTCCCACCAGCAATGTATGAGGGTTCTAATTTCTTCACATCCTCACCAACACTTGTTATTTTCTGTTTTATTTTTTTCTAGTCTTCTAGTTGGTTTGAAGTAGTATATCATTGTAGTTTTGACTAGCGATGTTGAGCATATTTCATGGGCTTATTGGACATTTGTTTATCTCTTTAGAAGTAATGTCTATTCAAGTTCATTGCCCTTTTAAATTGGGTTGTTTGTTTCTTTGTTGTGTTGTAGTTCTTTATATACTTGGATATGAAATTGTTATCACAAATGATTTGCAAATATTTTCTTCCATTCTGTAGATTTTCTATTCACTTCTTTTTCCCTTTCATCTCTTACTTATTTATTCATTCATTAAACTTCTTGGGTCTACTTACTTTCATGATAACATTCTTTGTTGCACAAAAATCCTTAATTTTGATAAAGTCCAATATATCTATTTTTTTCTCTCCTTAACTTTTGAAGGACTCCCTCTAGTGAATTTTTCATTTTTGTTGTATTTTTCAACTCCAGATTTCTATTTGGTTCTATTAATCTGAAAATAAAAAGCCAAAGTGAGAGGCAATAAGTGTTTGTTTGCGATCCAAAGATTAGCTATGTAGGAAGCTCTCATTCAGTCAGAAACCCAAATAGCATTTTGATTATGGGGTGAAGACAGGGTTTTTTGTTTGTTTGTTTTTTGTTTTTTGTTTTTGTTTTTTAATGAGAAGGAAAAGGGGAATAATTACACGAATAGAAGGAAAGAATTTCTATAGGTACAAATAAGCGAAGTTATTCCTTACCTACACGTGGTGGTGCTAATTCTAAAGAATGTCTTTAATTTTCAATTTGGTAGTTAGGATGTCTACTTTCCTCCAAGCTTTGCAATTTATTTGTAGGTACAAACAAAACCATTTGCAGTGGTCGAAATAGTGTGTTGGTTTTGCCCAGTTCAAAGGTTATTTTGCCTGGTTCAGACATTCCAAAGGTTTGAGGAGTAAGATGTGCAAGGCAGTTTGTCTGAATTGGCTACCCTAGCTCTATTTTAAAATGACTCCATTTATGTCAACTTTTCATAGTTCCTTTTTATCATTTCTATCTCTTCATTGACATTCTCTATTTGATGAGACATTGTTCTTGTACTTTCCTTTAACTCTTTAGACATGGTTTCCTTTAGCCCTTTGAACATATTTAACATAGTTAATTTGAAGTTTTTGTCTATTAAGTCCAATGTCTGGGTTTCTCAGGAACAGTGTCTGTTGATTGCTTTTTTTTTTTTTCTGATGTATGAGTTGTCTTTTGTTTCTTTGCATGTCCCATAGTTCATAGCTGTTGAAAATTAGGTATCTCAAATAATATTATGTGGCAACTCTGGGAATCATATTCTCTCTGCTCCCCAGATTTTGTTGTTGTTGCTGCCTGTTGTAGTAGTTGTTAATTTGTTTAGTGACTTTTCTGAACTCATTTTGTGAAGTCTGCTGTTGCGGCCACTGAAGTCTCTACTTGGTTAGCTTAATGATCAGTTAATGATTGGACACAGATTTCCTTAAACGCCTGGACCAATAAGTCTCCCTGTCTTTGCCAAGGACCTTTGTATACATGTTAAGGAACTCCTTCAACAACCATCTTGTACCTTACAACTCTGCTGTAGCCTCACTTGCTGCTTGTGCGGATCTCAAGGTCGACCAGAGGTGAGAGCTTAGAATATTTTCAGGTCCTTTTTGAGCATGCACATGGCCCTATTCATGTACATGGCTATCTAGATTCCCAGGAATATATCTGAACTGTTCAAAGCTTCTATTGGCATCTCATTCCTCAGCCTTTCCTTTTAAACTTTTTATTTTATTTTATTAAATGTATTGGGGTAACATTGGTTAATAAAATTATATAGGTTTCAAGTATACAATTCAATAATCTGTCATATGTATATTGCATTGTGTGTTCACCACCCAAAGTTAAATTTCCTCCTGTCACCATATATTTGACCCCCTTTACTTTTAAACTTTTTATTAGTCTATAATATACCCCACCTGTCTTCCATTGCCTCAGGCCACTTTACTGTTAAGACATTAAAAAAATATCTCCCCTCCTCAGAAACTTTGAGTACTGGGTAAGTATGAGGTGGAATAAAGACCTCATACTTAAAAATTGTAAATATTGTAAAAAATTATAACAATACAAATAAATGAACTATAGCTATACACAACAATATACTTGAGTCTCAGAAACATAATGATGAGTTAAATAAAACATTAAAGACTATGCTAAGAATCATAGAGTATGATCAATTCATATGGAATTAAAAATGAGCAAAACGAACTATATTTTAAGGATGTATGCAAATGTAGTAAAATTATACAGAAGCAAAAGGAAATGATTATTATAAAAATCAGGATGGTGGTTACCTCTGGGGTGATGGTGGTACTGTGAACAGGGAGGGACCCATGGGAAGCTTTCTGGAGTGATGACAGTGTTCTATTTCCTCATTTGGTAAGTGACTACATGGGTATTTATTTGCTAGTTATTCATTAAATTATTCATACAGGCTTATGAACTTTCCTGTATGACTATTCTATTATACCATAAAAGAAGAGAAATTATGAAGAAGACATAGTTTAAGGTCTAGAAGTTAGCATTATACCTTGGGCGATATTTTATTTTGAGGTTCTTTATATTTTTTAAGCTTTTCCTACCTTCCTCTAGTTTCATAATTCCTAACATTTAAATAAGTTTCTATTTTCTCAAGAGATTCTACAGCCATTATATAGGGAATGCTACAGTATCAGTAATTAAATCATATAGAGACATTATAGAAAGCCATATGATCAAGTGGCTGCTATCAAAATGCCATTCCACTGCCACATGGGGTAAGCCAGGCTTTACCTTTCTTCCCATGTAATCTGGATTTCACTTCTTGATTTATAGAAGCATCCAATTCTGGGCTCCTAGGATTGAATTTATTAACTACTGGATGGACATGACATTCACCGTTCAAGGCTGTTGTAAGAATAACATAATAAATGCTGACTACTATGGATTTTAACAAAGAAGATAAATAATATAAATGCTTGTTTTAGAGCCAGATAATAATGTTCTTTCATTGCACAAATTTAAGGGAAAATGGTTTTCACAAGTGGGTTTGATGTGATTACTTGTTTGAAACCTTTTCCTCTTACTGAATTTCTTCTAACAACGTTTCTTGAACTTCCTCCTTGTATATCTCAGGACATTTGTTTACTCATTCCTCACTAGAGGGAGACCTTTTCCAGTTGTGTTACTTTTCAGAGGCTTTTTCTTCTGCATGGGAAATGGACTCCTGCAAGGCTACTATCTGGCTTACTGTGCTGAATACCCTGCTGAGTGGTACAAAGACATACGATTTAGCTTGGGTAAGTAAATCTGACCACTTTTCACCCAACACCGCTGCCCACAGTCTAAATCATCATCATCTCTTCCTACCCTATTACAGTAACCTCTCAATGCATCCATTTTCTTCTTCTCTCACCCCTCCCCCGGTCTGTTCTCTATATCGCAGCCTGAGAGAGCTTTGAAAAACATCACGTCTTTCCCCATCTCAAAACTCTACAATAGCTTTCAGGATAAAATACAATTTTTTTTTTTTTTTTTTTTTTTTACCACTGCCTATGAAACCAAAATGTCCTTATTTCAGCCCAGTGTCTCTTTCCTGCCTCCAACTACTTCATAGACTGTGCCGTAGCCTCAGTGGCTTTCTTGCTGGGCCTGAAATAGTCATTTGTGCTGACTACTCTCTGCTCAGAATGCTCTGCCCCTACATATTCATGGATCTTGGTCCCTTATTTTATTTAGGACTCTATCAATTTGTGCCTCCTCAAATAGACTTCTCCTGACTATCTAAAATTGTAGAAAATGCTAATTACTGAATTTATTTCATTATCTGCAAGAGTAACTAAAGTCTACGAAGATTCAACTGTTGATACATTATTTTGGCTCAGGCAAAAATACAGGGATTATTCATTTCTTCTCTTTACATCTCACATCAAATTTGTCAGCTTAGTACCGTTGCCTCTAGCTCCAAAGCATGTGCCCACTGGACCCACTTCTCCCAAACTGCACTCACTTCATCCTAGGCCAGGTCATGATGTCTTGCCTGGACCACCACAGTGACCTGTAAACTAAACTTTCTGAATATCAATAACCTCTTTTTCTTATAACAGTCAGAGTGAACATTTGAAAACACAAATAACCAGAGGATTAGTTGTATGAATGTTAATACATGTGCACAATGGAGTATTCTCCAGCCACAAAAATGAACAAAGCAAAAGAAAAACAAGAAATATCTCTGTGTGCTCATGTGGAGACATCTCTAGAAATGTGGTAAAATAAAAGCAAAATATTAACAGTGTATATAGTATGAGACTTTTTATGTAAAAATGGGATAGGAAGAAAATGTATGTGTGTGTGTGAGGGGTATGGGTGTGTGTGTAAAATTGGAAAAGGAAATACTGAATTGATAAAAAAAGAAACTAATAAAAAACAGATTACTTGTAAGGTTTAGGGTAAAAAGAATGGGATGGTGGGCAGAGCTCTTCTTTCAATATAGTTTTGTTCTTTAAATCATGAAACTTCGTAACTTAGTTAAAAAATCTAAATGGACGAAAGATCCTTAAAATTGAGAAAAAACAAATAAATGTACCTAATTGTATGTTAAACTGGTAACATAACCATACAGGAAAATGATTTATGCCAGTTTATAGGAAACACAGAAAATAAGTTGAATGCCACTTTGAGGAAGTAAGGCCAGTCTTATCTAGAAAGGGGAGAATTCTGAGGGACAACTGTCTGGTCTTTTCAAGAAGTCAGTGTGCCCCTCCCCCTGCCAAAAAAAGGGCAGGGATTTGGGCTAGACTAAAAGAGCCATGAAGGACATAACAACCAGATGCCAGATGTGGTCCAGTATTAGACCTTGTGTGGTACAAACTAGCTATAAGAGGCATTTTGGGGACACCTAAGGAAATTGAACTATGGCCTAGATGTTACATAAGATGAAAATCTGGAGGGGAATGAACTAAAATCTTTAACGCTGGTAATTTCTGGGTGGTAGGAATAAGGGGTCTTGGTTTTCTTAATTTTGCTAATTATTATTTACTCTTCCACATAACATATATATATATTTCTTTTGTAATAATAATAAACAGAAATCAGATTCTATTTCTCCTCTGCTTAAAACCTGCTAGTAGCTTCCTATTGCACTTGAAAATCCAAACTCCTCACCACAACCTATAATGCTTGATGTGATTTTTTAACTCATCATTCTAGCATCTCACTTTTCCATCTGTCTTAAAGCTTCCACTGCAGTGCCTTCATTCTGTTTCTTAAACCTGCTAAATCTATTCTAACCTCAAGCCCTTTGCCCCTGCTGATCTCTCTACCAGATTGCTCTCCCTGAGATCTTTGCATTTTTCATTATTCAAATCACAGGACAAATGCCAAATCTTCAGAAATGGTTTCCTTATTTCATCTAAAGTAGAAACAACTCCACCCCACCCCAATTCACTCTCTGTCTCCTTATCTTACTTTGATTTTCTGCTTTACAGTAATCATTATGTGATTTTTAATTTTAAAATTATTTAAATTTCTTTCTGTGTTCCTCTACTAAAATATAAGCTTCATGAGAACAGACACCTTGACTGTTTTTCTTAATGTATCTTTGGTGTTTAGGACAGAGCTTGGTACATAGTAAGTCTTCAATAAATATTTGAATGAATGAACAAATGAACGAATACAAGAATGAGTCTCATACCATCCTTATGAGATAGATACTGTTAGAATCTACATTTTACAGTTGAGGAAACTGAGGCTGAGAGAGATCGTGACTTGCTTGAGGACATATAGACATCTAGGCCAAGGTTCCTGCTTTTTCCACTGCTGTGCATGCTACTACCCTTCTTCTCTCCACCCTTAACTCCCCTGCACTGGCATCCCTCCCCAAGTTCCCTTTCTTCCACGCCAATGCTCTTTTGACTAGACAAGATTGAAAATCATTGTTTCATATCATAGCAGTTGAGGTGAGAGTGGATCTGACTGTTTTTAATTCAACTGTTCTTGTTTTTGGTCTCACGTATTTTGATTAGTACAAATACATATTGTTGAGAGGAGAAGTTGGGCATCTGTGTGGGACAGTGAGAGTTTCTGGAGTGTAATGATGCCCGTTGGGATGTAGGACTAGCATCCTTGATCCTGGCTCAGACCAGGGCCCTTTCTGACCAGTGAATGTGGAGAAGAATGTATGTGTGATTTGGCAGTGGTGGAAACCAGTTTGCTAAGTGCCAAAATTTCCTATCTAGTTCATATTACTTTCATCAGTCAGGAGTGCTATCAGCAGTGAGTCACAGAAAACCAATGCGCAGTGATTTAAATAATTAAGAATTTATGTTTTATACATAACAAGAACATTCAAAAGTAGTTGACTTCTTTAGTTGCTTGCTGATGTTGTACATAGTGCCTGAGATCTTAGTGATATCTGCTATATCGTTCTTAGCATGTTTACTTTTGTTCCTCATGGTAGTTATTTCATGATTGCAAAACAATTGCTGTAGTTCAAGGTGTTACATCTGGCAATGAAGGAGGAAGGAGGCAGTAGAGTTACTGGTTCCATCTGCCCCTTTTATCAGAAAAGCAAAAGATTTCCAAGGAAGCCCCTGGAAGATTCCCCATTACATCTTCTTGCCAGAACTTGGTCACGAAACCACCTTCCAGCCTTCCAGTCTTGATAGTGGCTGGAGATGGCAAAGGAGAAAGGATTGGGATTGGTCGTTGAGTTAGCCAACCACAGTTTGATTATTTGTGAGTGAACCAAAGGCTTACTATTTACTCATTCATTTCCTCGTTTATTTACTTATTTATTTAAGTATTTGACAGTGGTGCTGCCTCCTTCTCTCGTCTCCCCTCTGCCTCCAACACATGAAACTATGCACTTTTAGTCTATTGGTCTATGAAACAGCACAGCCCCTCCACCCAAAATTTGGACCAGAGCTAATCACTTCATTCTTTTTTTAATTTTAAATTTAAATTTTATTTTGTTTTGTGCCTTATCTTAGTACCATTATTAGAATTTGAAATTAAATGTCCTTCATTTTTAGGAAAATATTTAGCTTGTGAGAAAAACACCAAAATCAGGATACATTTTTAACTTTTCCCCTCTCTCTTCTTTGCCAAGGTGTCTTCTTATTTATTTTGGGAATGGGAATCAACATTCATAGTGACTATATACTGCGCCAGCTCAGGAAGCCTGGAGAAATCACCTATAAGATTCCACAAGGTAATGTCTCTCCTGCCCTCTGGATTCCCATTCTTCCTTGGGAGACTAGCTGAGGGATTATGCTGTGAGTAACAAACTCCCCTGATTTGCCCCTGACTTCTCCTCCACATGCCATCCTACCTCACAACACATTTGCGTTTCAGATTTGGACCCGAAAGTTCAAGAGAGGTACAAGGATTCTCAGAAAGGGGCATGATCACAATACCCTGAAGATGAGGGGGAGTGAGAGGCTTGGGATAGGGCGAGGTAGGCTGTGACATCATTGCAGTAGATAAGATTATCATATGCTGTATTGGGGTTCTCCAGAGAAACAGAATCTATAAGATAGAGATAAAGATATAGATATAGATGTAGAGATAGAGATAGATAGAGATAGAGATATATAGAGATCGAGACAGAGATTAGATATATAAAGAGATTAGATATATAAAGAGATTTATTATAAGGAATTGGCTCATGTGATTATAGAGGCTGAGAAGCCCTATGATCTGCCATCTGCAAGCTGGAGACTCAGGAGAGCTGGTAGTATAAGTTCCAGTCAGAGCGCAGAAGACTGATGTTACAACTTGAAAACAGTCAAACAGGGAGAGTGAATTCTTCCTTATTCCACTTTTTTGTTCTATTCAGGCCTTCAATGGATTGGATGAGGCCCATCCACCTTGGAGAGGGTAATCTACTTTATTCAGTCTGTCAATTCAAATATTAATCTCTCTAGAAACACCCCCATGGGCATACCCAGAAACCATGTTTTACCAAATATCTGGGCACCCAGTTGCCCATTCAAGTTGACACAAAAAATTAACCATCATGTATACAGAGAGTGTCAGTCCTTCCTAGGTTAGCAAATAGAGCTGAATCATGCATGACCAGCAAATTTGTCCTTTCCAATAAGTCTCACTAAATTTATCTAGTGAGTAGTCAGGGACAGTGAGTGCGTATTTCCTGCCACTTGTATATTCTTATAGGTGTAGGCAGCCATATTTACTTAATCAAAACTTAGGAAGGGAGGTATTATAAGTACAAGCGCATTTTCAGAGATAGAGGCTCAGAATTTTGAAATCCTAACTGCTTCCAAGAAACCAGAGTGTGAGTTGACAAATATAAGCAGGTGGGAGTGAATCGGTCCAAGTAATTCTTCAACATTTTTAGGTGGGTATTTGGGTAGGTTCGCAGCTCCTATCCTTTTTGATGTCAATGAAACCCTTTACATTTAAAAATTTCTTGAATCAAACATGGTGTTAGTGCAAATTAATATTCATTGATTAAGAAAATAATTATAAAGCTACTGTGAATTCAGTAACACATGTAAGTGGATTTAAATGTTGCTAACATCCTAACAGTGTCTACATCAAACAAAAATAATACCATAGGTTGAGATATACCAGTTGCCATATTCACAGACAATTTATAGAGCCTTTGCAATACATCAGTGATTCCTCCCAGGGGCTGGGAATCACAGGTTGGAAACTGCTGATGCCATTGTCATCCTTAGGACGATACCTGTTAGGGGGTTTCAATTTTTAAAATCTTCACTCAGTAACTAGACAAAGAAGAACAGAGAAAGCTAGATTGTCCAAGTTAGTAAGTTATGTTAAAAGCTAGATTGTCCAAGTTAGTAAGTTATGTTAGAGAATGATTTAAAAACAAAATATTCTTTATATAACTATGAAAAGAAAAATATTTTAGGGGAAACTTTTTCAGTTTAGTGTGGGAGCAGAAATTTTAAGTGTAGGTATGTATTTACTATGATCAGAAGTGTGTTGATATCTAATTTAGTTCCGATATTAGAATACATGGTTGGATAGGAAAATAAACTTTAAAAATCAATAGAAGCAGTCCTCACCAGCCTCCAGGTGGGTAAAACCCTGCAGCTCCTACTGTCTCCTTTCAACTTGGGCTTTGCAGAGGTGAGAGGGCAAATGCCAAAGGAGAATCGAATTACTTCTCACATCAATTCAGGGTTTTTATTACTATTTTCACATAGTGTGTTGTTTTACCACATGTGACTGTGAGCGTGAATATGCTGACCGGCATTGTGGGGGTCCGGGGAAGGTGAGAGGTGGCCTGGAAACGTCACTTAATATAATGAAACAAAACCGAGACCTCCTGTTCCTCATCCTTGTCCTGTCCAGAGTCAGCGGTCCAGCAGTTGTTAGATATTTGGAGGGAACCCATCCTTGCGATTCTAGGATGTTCTGAGGACATCAGGCTGTTGTGCGCTTTGTTTTCTTTTCTCCCCAAGAGGATTCCACCAAACTGTGATGACAGGGGAGAGTCTCCAGCCCCACATTTGTTCTAGCTGCCCTTATGTATTTTGGAACAAAGCGGAGGGATTTTAATGTCACAGTGATCCAGTTCTGACGACGGACTTTTTGATTCTTCTGCTCGCAGGTGGCTTGTTCACGTACATTTCCGGAGCCAATTTCCTGGGTGAAATCATCGAATGGATCGGCTTTGCCCTGGCCACTTGGTCCCTCCCAGCACTTGCATTTGCATTTTTCTCACTTTGTTTCCTTGGGCTGAGAGCTTTTCACCACCATAGGTAAACTTTTCAATCACGGTCATGGTATTCGTATAGCTTTCTTCTCCAGACAGGCTTGTAGAAACCCAAGGCATTTATTTTTACAAGGGGGAGTTGATATGACAACCTTGGTGAATTCTGAGCTCTTGGGCTTTCTCTGCAGTTGGAGTTTAGCTGGATAACAGTAGCAGTGACAATTTCTTTTCCTATGTACAAAAATAAACCCGTGTAGACAAAGGCACTCAAGGTGACTTGGGAAGCAAGCCATCTTGTTGAAGGCTTCCCAGGGAAAAGTGCCTTACGTCCACACGAGTTAGTTGACCCAGGCTCTGTGTCCTCCTAGCAGGCTCAGCTGGCGATAGCTACTGGTTGCCAGTGGGCTGCACATAAGAGTCAAGAGATACAAGAAGTAGCTTCCATCTCCATGCTTCAATTCAGTTTAGTTCCGCCACATTTCTCAAAGTGTATTCCATGGGTAGGACCATGAGCAGCACTTTCCAAAGCTTCACAGGTAATTCTGAGTGGCAGCCAGGATAGAGAACCACAGGAATAAAGCACCGGACCTGTGCCTAGTGTGGTGGCTATTTTTAATCACAGAAGCCTGGAAACTCCAGGATTATTTCCCCAGGATCTGTGTAATTCCAGGGCTTATTTGGGTACTCCCCTTCTTCCCCTGTCCTCACCCTCCATAAATCATAGCCAAGGTCATTGCTGGCTTCCTGGGAAGATAGGGTAAGGAATCACTCTTGAGATGCAATCTTAGGACTGTCTCATCACCTGGGAAATGCCAGGAAATTGCAGGGGTTTAGAACCTTTCCTCTGTAGGTCTAGCCTAAACCTTTCCTAACTCCTATCTCCCTCCCAACCCCTGCACCTGGGATGGGGAGGGGATAAATAGTTAACTAAAAGTATCACTGGCAGGAAAAGGCTAACATATGACATGGTTGTCAGGCTTTAAATGCAAATTTCGATCCTTTCTCTAGAATAGTATTTGTATTTGGAAGAAAGAGAAAGCCTGTGATTACTAGAGAGAGAGAGAGAAAGAGAGAGAGAAGAGAGAGATATATATTAGTTACCCAAGGCTGCTGAAACAGATGACCACACACTGAATGGCTTAAAATAGTAGAAGTTTATTCTCTCATAGTTCTAGAGGCAGAAGTCTGAAATCAAGGTGTGGGCAGGACCATGTGTGCTCTCTGATGGCTCTGGGGCAGAGTCCTTGCTTGCCTCTTCCTAGCTTCTGGTGGAGGATGGCAAGCCTTGGTTTTCCATGGCTTATGGCTGCATCACTCCAGTCTCTGCCTCTGTCTTCATATGGCCTTCTCCCCTATATGTCTCAGTCTCTATGTCTCTTCCCCACTTCTCCTGAGGACACTAGTCATATTGGATTAAGAGTCTGCCCTGCTCCAGTCTGACTTCATTTTAATTTAAGTTATATCTGCAGTCACCATATCTCCAATAAGGTCACATTCTCAGGTACTAGAGGTCAGGATTTCAGTGTATATACATCTATTGAGGTGGGGTACACAATTCAATCCATAATATAAGGTAACATTTTCTTGGCATTCCCCCACCTCATGAAGGGATATTTTCCTGGGTTAACCTTGCCCATTGCCTTTGGGGGGTCTCTGCTTCCCTGTATTTCTCAAGTTGAATCCACTGAGGACTTCTTTCTGGTTATTACGTTTTCTAGTTGTGTTAAAGTATACATAACATAAAATTTACTATTTAAAGTATACAACTCAGTGGCATTAGGCACATTCATGATGTTGTGCACCCATCACCACTGTTCTCTGGTTATTTTTATTCCCCAACACAAAAAGCATAAACATTTTAAAGAGATAGGTTGCAGGAGGGAGAAAGGTGGACAGGTAGACACAAGGAAGAGTCAGACCCTGAATAAATGTAGGTTGATTTGTAAGAAGGGTTTCAGACACTGCAAACCTCAACTGTTGACCACGGCTTGATTATATTTATAATTATTTGTTCCTTGTCTTTTAGGTTCTACCTCAAGATCTTTGAGGACTACCCCAAATCTCGGAAGGCCCTCATTCCATTCATTTTTTAAAGAAACCAAATAAAAAAGGAACAAAGCTCTCACAATACTGTTAAAATCATCAAGCTGCTTAATCTGTAACTTTTAAAGTTCCAACATATAAGTATATATAATAGTAGGCTTCTTGTAGTCTGACAGCTGGCCTGAGGAGTCTGCCTGGTACTCACCTCATGTGTATTCTTGCCTTTCCAGGGGCTCTACCCTGATCTCCTATTGTAGCTTCTGTAGGCCCTGAGTTATTCTTCCTCGAAAGTGCAAAGCTTCCCTATGTATTTTCTGTGTGTGTGACCCAAGCACATGTGTCTTTTTATACGTGCTCTATATCAATGTAAGATAGCCCCGTAGTCAAGGAAGTTTCGGGTAGAGGGTAATGTTTATAGACTTCATTAAAGATACATATTTTATACCTATACAGATTAGTAGAGATTTCAATTCTGAAGCTGCACAGCCACACAAAAAAATCGACTGCCAAATAAAAACCCGGTCACATCTTTTGTTTCCTTGGTTAATTATGAGAGATGTGAAATGCTTAGGTAGACTTTTAACAGAGTCCTCTCTTCATATTGCTGAAAATGTAACCATCCATGGACACTCTTTTCAAACTCGCCCGTTGTCTTAGTGCCTCTATCTTTCTGACGTTTTCATAATCCCTGTTAGAGATAACATAGCCTAACCCAGTAAACTAATGTGGGTTTTATTGAAAGTCAGGTTTTAATGACCACTGAGAAAAAGACATGACAGCGGATAGCTACTGAGAGAATAAAGAAGTGTTTTAGAGTAGCTGCTGCAAACTCTCATGTCCTTGGAAACCGGTGGAAATATCCAAATAATGAGCGCATGTCAAATAAGATTTCTGAGTAAGCTCAGATGCCGCTTGCCGCAACAGTGACAGTGAAGCGTATCAGAAGCACCCAGCAACTTTTCTCCTCTGGATTCCTTCATCGCAGTCCTCAGGATATGATCAAGAAGGTGTATCTTGGACATCAGTCTTCAAAGGTCCCAAGGGCAGAGGCTGAAAGCTTCAACCGGAGGCAGGAATCTGGGCAGGAAACTTCTTTTCTTTGGCTCAGACAGTGTTTCACACAGAGTTTGATTTGCCTTTAGTTACATTCAAAGTTTCTAAAACTTAAAAATGAGATTTCTACGTTGTAGTTCCCTTAAAATAATTGCAGGATCTGGGTCCACGGAGCTTGCCAAGAATTGAAACTGATCAGCTAGTTCACATTAGAATTTGCAACCCCAGTGGAGGGATCAACCTAGTTAGCATGAGTGCTGAGACACTGGGGTCTGAAGGAAGGGGCTGAAAACTCATAATGAGAGTGGATGAGACATTTGTCTCCTCTGGCCTAGGTTTGTCGTAAGCATTGGACTATTTATCAAACTCTTGAGAAATGAATACGAATTTTATCAGCTGTGGTGCTAAGTACAGAAATTCACTATATAAGACACATAGGACACTCAAAAGATCTGAGAATGATGTAGATTACTGAAAAACAAGTTATAATAATATAAATAAGTGTTTTTGCTGTTCATTAAATGCTTCTTAAATCATGGACATTAAGTAATTTTGTTTGCATTAAAAGACCCCTTGTCCCATGAAAATTTTTATAAGGCATTGAGCTGTGTGTTTTTTTTCCCTTTTTTCTTCTTCTTCTTTTCTTTTTTTTAGTGTTGCTTCTTCTCTCTTCATTTTGCCAACTTGAAATTAGAGACTTTGAGCTGAAAATAAAAAAGAAGAATGACTTACAGAGCTTCTCCACCTCAGTTCAGAGGCCCAAGGAGGTGCAGTAAAGGTGCAGGAAAATGTGCTAAGGTTGGATGCTACCCTTAGTGTTCAGTAAGACACCGCAGCGGGTAGGGGAGGGGCGGGGACACACTCCGTGAAATGAATCTTAAAGTGTAGCTTGGGCTCTGTGAAATAAGACTTCCAGTTCTTTCCATGACATTGAAAACTGCCTTTCTTAAATCCTTTATCTTATAACCATACAAAACATCCAGGCTAGTCCTTGAAATGTAATGTGTTCAATAAATGGCAGTATTATTTGCCCAGAACTTGTAATCTCAGGACAAAACTGCTATTTAGTAGTTGACGGATGGTCACGGGGATGGGGAGCATGGCACGGGGAATGCAGTCAGCAGTAATGTAATGGCTAGATGGAGAGTCAGAGGAGAGAAAGAGCAATCAGGGAGCATTTTATAAACTATATAAATGTCTAAGCAATGTAATGTATACTTGAAACTAATAAAATGAAATTAAAAACATACAAAAAATAAAAAAACCCCCTGCTATTTAGCAATTGCATTTTTTGCCTCTGAGGGATGCTCTCTAGAATTTTATTTTGGTCGACACTGATTTAATAAGGTAATTTACATATTTGGAAATTAAAAAAAAAACTCTACTGTCATTTCAAGTTAATATTATCATGGGCCTTCTTAATTTAAATATAGTGTAGAATGAACTCGGTATAATCATAAATCTTCCCTTGATAACCAAGGTATTCATAATGATCTAAAACAATTGTTTTGGATCCCATTTTTCCATGCTTAGGGCTAGAATATGTGTGTGGATTGAGTACAGGAAGGTCTGAAAGTGTGCTCATCCCTAAACATATTTCTCATTTTTCCAAAGAATAGAGTGTAACAAAAATATGGTTAATTTAGGTTTCTATGGAGTGCTTTTTGGTTAAAATAATATGACAGTGTCTTCGCTAACAAGATACTATGTCTTACTCTTGCCAAAATTTGTGGAGG